AGTTTAACAGATATTCACATAGAAAACAGTTATTTTACATTATAATAATATTTTCCTTTTTTCTACTGTATTTTTTATCAAATAAATGCAGCCTTGGTGAGCAGAAGAGACTTATTTTAAAGACATAAAAAAAACCTTTTGAATCGAAGTGTATATTTAATGCATAAGAAATTTTTTTTTTTAAATGCATAAGAAAAAAAAAATAAAAATACCGAACGATTCGATTCGTTGCACTAATCCTATTACATTTGGAAAATAAAAGAGCTTAAAGTGTGTGAAATATAATGTTTTCAGTGCCACTGCGCTCAACAAAGCAGACCAAACGACGTAACAGACAACGCACTGTCTGCCCCGTGATAACCTCCTCTTGCTGCGGTGCGTCGAAAGATGATGATCTTGTATCGACGACAGCCAGAGATATCGTCAAAAACATAAATTATTGGCAATATTAAGAGGATTTGGCATTTCCAATTAATGTAGGCCTGTTACATTCTTATTTTTATTAGGCCTATTATTATTATTATGAAGTTACTTTTATTATTACATTTAAATTACAATTAATTTGCCCTGCAATAATGACCAACTAACTGATGTGCAGCGAGGATAACAAAAGGTTAGGCTATATATTTAGCACTCCTCAATTAAAATGTAAAAAAACAGGTCTTTTATACAATGAATTATAGGCCTATGATTAAAATATTAAGACTTCAGCCATCAATAAAAATCAATGAAATAAAAAGCTTTCATTTCAAGCACCGACTTTCAAAAACAACCTGTTCAACACGAAATATGTTTCTCCTCATTTTATATGAGAATATTATATTCTCTCATGTAATATTAGAAACAGTTAGCTATATAGCGTTATCAGCATATGTTGAAGTAGATTCGTCTCGTCGTCTTTGAGAGAGAATGCGGCGTCAGATGCTGAAAGCTCCGTCATTACTCCGTCACTCTGTTTTTACTTTCACTTTCTGCAGTGAATTTAATTGAGATTAAGACGTTCACCGGCGTAACTCTTGCGCAAAGTTTGCACGTTGCTTGTGTGTGATATCCATTGGCTCGCCTTCATGGTTTAAAACAGAAATATTTCCAACGTTGCAACGTAACCAATTAATTGGAAAATAAATCGCTGCACATTTCAGATGAATAAAAACGCGACTTCTATTTCTGAAATGTCACAGTTAGGAGATTTATAGCGAGTGGTTCCCTGCATTTTTACAGCAA